AAAAAAAAAAAAATGCTTTAAAGTGTGATGCATTTCAGCCCTATAAATAGTAATCAGTGGCTTCTCGGGAAATAGAATAAACTTTTAACAAGGTAAAGTAAATCAATAGTATATATCCAAGCATCCGGGCGTGTTTGGATACAAATATACCTTCAATTTTGAAAAAAAATTGTATGTTTTTAGTTAGATTTTAAGTTTGTATTAAATAATATTTAAAATAAAATAATTAAAGTTAATTTGATATAAAAATAAGAGAGATATGATGTGAAGTGATACTTATGAAGTACATGAATAATGAATTAAATTGATATATGTAATGTTAAAAATAATAATTAATATTATTTAATTATACGGATAATAGTGATGACAAATAATATTGACTAGTACAGAGCCCGTGCGATGCACGGGGTGCACAATTTTAAGGTCATTTATCCAGCCTTATAATTATATAAATGAATAAAGAAAAATATACGGGATTTATATAGTACGTGACCTGTGCGAGACACGAGATATATTTATTTGGGGATTATTATACTATAAGATGCAATATTCAATAAAAGTTTTACAATACACGAAAATAAATATAAATAATGTAAATATTTAAATACATACACGATATGTAGAATAAATAAGACAAATTGCAAATCTGAAAATATAATTTAAAAAATAATCGAAAATATCACTAAACATGTACAAAAATATCTAAATACATACACGAAAATAAAAATAAAATAAAATATACGTTTCACATTTCGAAATTAAAACAAAAATTCAAATAATTTGGCTTACAGTTTTATCATGCAAAACCAATTCGAGATATGATTTGTATGTGGTGCCCCAATATTGGAAAAAATTCTCACAATTCGAACTTTGAGCATTGGTCTATTAGACCTATTGACTTGTTTGATTAATCCAAATTCTTGATTCATTGTTTTGAATAAAAGACTGATTGGGGATTGATATATGATATTATACTGGACCCGGTTAAATGGATAAAGCGGATACATTTTGGAAGATAAGCCCACTAAGACGTCCAAGCCCAAAATTATGGGCCAAGCTCATCTTGAGCCCACAAAGGTACACTCTCCCTATAAAAGGGGGGCAAGGTACCTCATTATGATCCTCTCTTCATTCCATTACTACACTTTATCTCTCTCTTGATCCGAGCACTGACTTAGGCATCGGAGGCCCGACGCCGGGGCCACCCGGCGTTGGGTTCTGCAGGTACGGAAGCCGGTTCGAGTTGAAGGAGCCCGGGTGAATCTTATTCACTTCAGGGATATTTTTGTTCGCAGGAGGTTGACAGTGAGGAAGATTTCGATATTTTGAGATTTGTAATTTATAATCGGTAGAGTAGATATATATTGTTGTTAATATTTTTATTAGAAATTCTGAATCTAAATATACATAAATAGGTTTGAACAAAATCAAAACAAATTTTCATACAATTAAATAATAAATTAGATAATAAATAAAGACTTTTTTATTTTAGTAAAGATTTTACGTACTTTTTCTTTTTACTTATCGGATGTTATGAGTTTTTTTTTTTGTTAAACCGATTTTATGAGATATAATACAAATACAATTAGAGGATTGAACAAAATCAGAACAAATTCCATACAATTAGATAATAAGAAGGAATTAAATAAGGAAAAGAAGGAATTAGATAAGGAATTTCAATCTGCCTTTTTTTAGTATAGATAGACTTTACGTACAAATTTTGACTTCACCGATGTGATGCGATTTATTTTGACAAAATGGACGTTAATATAGAATAAGATAAATAAATAAAACTTTTTTTTTTATATTTTAGTAAAGATTTTATGTCTTTTTTTTACTTATCAGATGTTATGAGATTTTTTTTTTTCTTAAACGGAGCGATATAAGACAATAAATAAAATAATTAAATAAAATTTTGGATAGAAATAACAATGCATTAATTACGTTAGACTTTTCAACTTATTAAATTTGATAAATATGGTACCTTATTATATAATAAGTACAAATAAATAGAAGTTGAGTTATGTTGAGAATGAATCGAGTATTAGTTGAAATAATTTACAATCACACACACGTTTAGGGCTTCTCTCAAGAACACGCAGTAGGTCTGTAGGAGGTGAACATGGCGGGGAAAGGCAAAAAAACGAAGAGAGGAGTAAACTCATGTCACGGCGGAGGTAACACAAGACTACCGCCCCCACCCGATCCCTCCTCGCTCGACGCCGTCCCCTCTAATCTTCGCAAATTCATGACCCTCACAGGTTGCTCCACCTCCCCTTCTCTTTAGCTCCTGCTTCTTGCTATATTTCTGGATTGAGTGCAGCCCGCGTTTATCTGCTTATATTTCTTACTTCTCGCGTGCTTCTTCTTATCGAATTTTGATTTGATTAACCTTATATAGGTTAAAGGTCTTAGCTCCTCCTATTTACATCTGTTTTTACATGGTTGATTTTGGTACGGCAATTGTGTGTGTGTGTGTGCTTATTTTTTGTTGTTGTTGTTTTCAGGAAATGGGAGACGGCCATTTAATCGAGAACGAATGGAAATACGGGCAATGGTGCCGGTAAGGTACGAAACGAAATGTGTTTGAAATGTGCATATGTTGTTTTGTTGTTGATGTCAATTTCGACACTTAAAAGTTGGTTCCTTGCAAATTTGTTGTTGTTGTTGTTGATTTGGAGATGTATAGTTGGTATCTTGCAGAAAAACCCTTCTTGACAGGGCGGCATTTAGCTGATTTTTTGAGTTGTGTTTTACGTTTGAATATAGCTTAGCTTATCGGTCGATTGGTGGGTTTTCAGAAATTTAGTTCCCATGATGTTGTCTTTTTTTGTTTCTTCCTGGAAAAAAAACGTCGTCACTTTTGGATGAATGCTTTAACTGAGGATACATTTAACACGAATGGGTTGTGTAGAATCTTGTGGAATTTGTTCTTGGAATTCATTTAGGTGTTTTGAACATTAGTGAATTGAAAGATGAATCTTTTGTCCAATCACTATTTTGCATGGTGTATCTGTTTGATGATTGATGGATGTTCTGCTGAGAGATCCTGTGGCTTTTAGATTTCGGACTTGGATCAAAGAATAATTTTCAAACACCACTTTCTTATCAGGGGATTAATTCTGGGGAAGGTACTGAAAAGACGTCTACAGGAATGAAGAGAAAAAGAAGCAATCAAAATTTGAATCCGGTGCAATCAGAAAACCAAAGTGGATCTGCACATTAAAATATACCAAGAGCGACAAGACGAAAAAGAAGAGGAAAATTAAAAAAGCAGAGCCCTACGGTTTGAGGCAGATGATAAACTCGCTCCCGTAGGTTCTCGTAGAAAAGAACGTAAAAGACAGTAAGTTTTTCGGTTTCCTGTTGATATATTTGTCAGTCGAATGTGTTCATATGATATGAATCCCTTGAGGCTTCTGCCATGATGTGAACTATGAAGATGTGGTGATATTTTTACTCAAAGCTAGGAACTGAGGTATTTAATGGCAGAGCTTATAAGCACTTAAAAAAAAATTAAACAATTAAAATATATAATAAGTCTGCACATTTTTAGAACTTTTAGAACCTAGAGTACTTACAAAATGTTTTGAAAGCTTGCAAACTCAGCAAAACGCCCTCTTAATTCTTAATCACTTACATTGGTTCCCCGCTTAATATGTTCTATTTTACATACATTGGTCAAACGTTTGCAGACTTTGGGAAGCAAGAAACAAAAAACACAAACTATCCACATCAGATGAGGACATTGAATTTCCTGGCCGTGAGGAGATAAAATTTGGTGACATAGTTCAAGCTCCCTCTAAGTTACTCGCCGTGCCTAAGGTTCTTCATCTTTATACTTTTGTCGGGATATTGATATACGAATAAATACTTTTTTTTCACCGGCTTATTTATTTATTTACTCCTATCCTTTTGTTCTTTGTGATAAAGGCATTTAAGACAGCCCAAGATGCTTCAAAAGAGTGTCTATACGTCTCGAAGCAGTAGATGCCTATAGACAACGTAAAGACTGGATATCAAGGCCTGGAGTTAAAATTCTTACATCCACGACCACATCACCACTAGTGGGGTCCACATTCTTAAATATTAGACTGCTCTACCATCTGCGCAGGCAAACTGACGAGCTTTTTGTAACCTATGTGTGATGCCATGCGGTCAAGATAGTTGAAAGTTGACAACCATAATTTGCCAGAGCAAGTTAAGTGTTGACTGTATTAGCTTTTCGTATTTAATTATTTATTTTTTTTGTGTCTAATGTTCACATTTGATTGTTTTATTGGCTTGCCTACTCAAATTCGGCAAGGGTGCAGTAGTTGTTTAGATACCGAATAGTGATGAATGAAAGCTGAAAAGTTAGATGAACGACACTCGATTTGCAGAATTCAGATTTTTCCATGTACAAGTGACTAGATGATGAGATATTTCATTTGTTGAGCTTGAAATTCAGGATTTTGTACCGCTCAAGTACCTGTGATCAGCTTCGTAATTTCTGGGTGATGAACCGAGATTTAGGTGAGCACTAGTGACAAGTTAACTGGGGAGATAACTACATCACTACACTCGAGTTCAGTTCATTTACAAAGTCGGTCCCCCACTCGAAAAGTTTGAAGAAATTTACGTATATTCTAAGTTGTTACTTTGATGTAAAATCATAAGATGTACATTTTTCAACAGATGAGATGAGATGAGATGAAGAAAGAACTCCAATTAAAAAACTCCTAAAAGATGTCCTGTATATATAAACTGTCTGTAACACTATTGATTCATTAAACTTGTTGACTAAGGTAATTATCTTTCAAATTCTCCTATAATTATATATAAAAAACTAGAATCTTGGAAAATCATGTCCTCCATTCTAATTCAACGTAACTATTTGGCAGCTCGTTTAAATTCGGAAAAAAACTGAGTAACTGAAAAAGGGTTGAAAAGCCTGCTGCAAAAATTTCTTTCCACTCCCTCAACAAAGCTCGGTACTTCGCCTCCGGCCCGAACTTTTTCGTATATTTTGACCGCCTTATCCATCACTGTCTCTTGGCTCATCATCTCGGCTACTCGCCCGAGACAAGGGTGAGTCGTGTCCAATAGATACTTATAATGGTCAGCCCACTCGATTTCCGTTTTCTTGACAATGTCCGGCACAAGCCTAGGGTCGTAACCAGCCGAGGCCATCAGCATAAGCCCAATGTACCATGCTTCGAGTTCATGCCTAATTGAAAA